GCTGCAGGGACAGATGAGTGGCTGGATGAGTAGCATGGAGCCCATCTGTCTGTGAGATCTGGCCTACAGAGCTGTGTCATCTGGTCTGTGCAGCTGCCAGCAGGGCCAGAAATTCGGCAGTGGGGCAAGAGGCCACTATCAATTGCTGTGGCTTGTTTTGACAACAAATTTCCAGCCTGCAGGTAAACCCACAAGCTAGGTGACATGGATCCATGCTCCAGATCTGACCTGGGACCCTCCTCAGCTTGGAAATTTAGTGATGTGACAAGTGGTGGTTGCTGTAGTTCCAGGAGCCTTTGCAATTAATGCTACTGCTGATTGTCCCACCACCAAATTTCCAGCAGGCCACATGACAGCTCCGCAGGCCAGATCCAGCCCTGTATAGATCCATATCTTTGACACATCTGCCCTGGATAGATCCATGTTCACATTGGACAGAAGGTTTTTGACCTCCTTAAGAGTTGCCCTGCCTCATCTAGTCCCACACTTCAATAGGAAAACCACTGGGTCCAGAATTCTTCTCCATTTTAGGTAGTAATGGTGACCTATGTTGTACAAACACCTGCAGGGCTAGGATAAAGAAGAGCTGTTTACCTTCTCTCATCAGACACTAGCTGTCAGTGAAGAGTGTGGTATTAGTCTATGTTAGGTTTTAACTAATTCTTCCGCTTCTTGCCAACAGAGATGTGCCTTTTTCCATTATCTATTTCCCACTCTTTGCCAACATCAACAAACATGGGCAGCGGCACACTGGAGAGAAGGCATCCTTCTTCCATTCCTTTGTGTCTGGCTGTGTAGCGGGTTCTGTGGCTGCTGTGACAGTGACGCCCCTGGATGGTAAGTATTGTGTGACGGTATGGCCAGATGTCAAGAGAAGAATGAGATGGAGATGGCAGGGGTGGGCAAACTCTGGCCCACAGTCCAGATCGGGCCCATGCCAGACTCCATTTCCCAGCATCCCCTGCCTGCACTGCTGCGGTTGGTTTAGACCCCAGCAGCAGTGGGGCCATGGCAGCATGGGGCCAGGGTTTCCATGGAACTGGCCCCAGCAGCACTGACAGGGCACGTGACTGGGTAGGAAGCTGCTCTGGGCCCGGGATCTTGCACTGGTAACAGCATGGTCCAGCGCTGGGACAGAACTGAGATCTGCTACCTAAGCAGAGGCATGCAGGCAGCAGATTGTGGTTCTGTCACGGCTCTGGACCACGCTGTCACCACTGCAAAATTCCAGTCCTGGCCCCAGGGCAGCTTCCTGTCCAGCCACATACCCTGCCAGTGCTGCTGGGGCCAGTCTCCATGGAAACCCTGGCCCCACGATATCACGGCCCCACTGCTGCTGGGGTCTCCATGGAAACCAGCTTCAGAGACAAGGGCAGGGGGTGCTGAGAAAGGGAGTCTGGCCAGATGCACCATTTTGCCCACCCCTGATCTAGGGAGTTTGGTTACTCTTATATCATGTCCCCAGACTTAGCCAGTTTCTGCTGCTCATTCTCAGATGTGTTCCCAGAATCTGTTGGTCCAGTCCATTGTGACATATCAGTGCAGAAGCTCTGAGAGTAGGTGGTGCTGGTGGCAGAACAGAAGTACCATAGCAATGATCAAAGATAGGCTCCCTCTGAACCATCAGCTCTTTGCCGGCGGTCCCTTAGAACAGCTGGCTGTGAAAGACAGGTGCTGAACTCTGGGACTCCCTGAAGGCTTGTGATGTGCCATATATATGCACAGATCAGAATCCTGGCAGCTTCCACACCCGACAGCTACAGGTGCTGTCCTTGGAGCTCACATCACTATCCTTTAAAAAAAACATTCTTGTTAGCATATGCAACAAGTTACACACAACATGCTTGTTGCCATACATGCGGTTGTATTTGGCTTGCAACCACCTCTGATAAGGGAAGGAGAATCAACCAGCTTGCTTCTCGGTTTGCGTGATGAATAGCATTCACCCTCCATCTGAGACAGTGACAGATCAGAGATTCCCTGCAGAGTACAGCCTCATGCAGACCTCACTAGCTTACTGAGCAGTTTGAGGTCTCTATTTTTCCAGTCACTTCCTTGTTATTTCTTCTAGTGGTTCTCTCACATTGAAATTCACAAACACCTCCAGGCATCACTCATGCAGCATGTCTCTCTCTGATTAACTTTCAGATCTCTCCATTGTGAAAACCAGAATCTAAAAAAGGGGCAGTGACTCAGAGTGTGGTGACACTTTTGAGTCCTATCGTGACTTGTTAGAACTCTGGCATTCAGTTACTCCATGCCAGCTACACAATCACAATTTTGTTCTCTATTCCCAGGAAGTTCTCTCTTCCACAGTGCAGCTTCCTCCATGGCTGGACCCCTGCTTTAGTATTTCCTCTGTTTCCCATTTTCATCACCTCTTCAATGGGTCATTTATTAATGCTCCAGATCTGAAAAAAGGGTAGTCTCTCAGATACGTTGCAACATTTTTGAGTCCTATCCTGACTTATTAGGACTTTGGCAAGGATTTATGAAGAGTCTGCCTTAGAGTTTGTTGTTACCTCCCTCACTATGGAATCTGTATGCTTGGACAGAGGTGGACAAATACCATGGTCCTCGTTTTGTAGATTGGAAAATGGAGGGTCCAAGAAGCAAAGTGATTTGTCTTCGGTCACAAAGTGAATCAGCGCAGGAAGCACAAACAGGGTGTTGTGGTTATCTTATTTCCCCATTTGTTTTATAAAAGCCCACAGAAGTTGGATCATAGGATGATGCTGTAGTGGGGTGTTGGAAACCTGAAATGTACCTTCTACACTCTGCCCATTTTAGTTCTAAAAACCCGAATTCAAACCCTGCAGAAAGGCCTGGGAGAGGACACGTACAATGGAATCATTGACTGTGCTAGGTAAGCCAGAAGACTCCCCCTCTGCCTGTCTAATGTATCATAATTCTGTGCCCACTGCTCTTGGTTAGTTCACAGTGTGGGGGTCTAGCAGGTACTCCATCTCTTTCAGTTTTGCAAAATTCCCTGGGGACTTCTGATGGAACAGCTCATTCCTAGAATGGATCAGAACTTCCCTTTGACTACTCCACCAGCATGGAGCAGCTGATAAAAGAATGATTTTCTATAGTGTCCTTGATATGCCTCATGCTGAATTAGTCAGCAACAGAACTAACACGTCTCACAAGCCAAGTACTTCAGACAGTCCACTGGGGAGTGATGTTAATCCAGTGATTTACAACTTGTTCAGATGAAGTGCTCAGTAGGAGGAAAGTGCTGAAACCATTTCCCAAAGACCTTCCCAGCTTGTGCAACTGTTGCACAATCCATAGAAAGTGGCACTTGTATATATTTTGGGTTTTTTTAATGTGAAGTCATAATGAGAATGGGGCCTTCCTCTTCCTACCCTTAAACACCCAGGCCGTGTCCAGACGAGCGCGGCCGTGCAGTATGTGACGCTGCAAACATGTCTGCAGCCCCACATACTGCACATTCAGATGTTCTCCATGCTGCAAGAGAGAACTGCCCATGTGTGCTTTTCTGCAGGTTTTTTGACCCTAGGATAACATGCGGATATCCAGGGGTAAAAAAAAACCCATGGAAAAAAAAAGGCACGCACGGGCAGCACGCAACACTCAAAAGTGGAACGGTGCCACCCAGAGCCGTGCTGAGGCTGCTGGCCAGGCTCCGAGCAGCAGAATCACCACTGCTGTAGCCCCAGGAGGCCTCAGGTAAGGTGGTGGGGGCCAGCCGTGCTGGCCCCAGCCTCCCTTACCCCAGCCGGGGTAATTTGCCATGCACCAATGTGCATGTGGCACGGGCGCTTCCCAGGAACAAGTAGCAGTGGTGCAAGTGTGCTGCTACTATTTGTTCCTGGGGAACCAAACATCCATGCTCATGTGATTGGGGCCCCAAAGAGTAAATTCTCTCCCCTTACTACTGGTTAACTAGTTGTATAAAACACTTAGAGCTGCTTGTTCAGCCACATAATTTTCTTTCCTTTTTTTTTTTTTTTTTTTAATATACAGGAAAATCTGGATGCATGAGGGCCCTGCTGCCTTCATGAAGGGGGCAGTCTGCCGGGCCATGGTTATAGCTCCCCTCTTTGGCATAGCCCAAGGGGTCTATTTCATTGGTATTGGAGAATATATTTTAGGATATTTCCAGTAGCACTTGCTCTTGCTAAGCAAGACCAGGCTGAAGATCCCACAAGTTTACTTCCCCATCTCTCCAGAATCAGAATGACCAGAAATGGACAGGACCATATTGTGATCCATGCCGTGACTTTGACACAACCTTCTGCTTTTTCTGGCAACAAACAAAGGTGGACACAGGCTGTTTGCCATTATAGCTTTATTTTCTTGTACCCTTTTGTTTCTGAGTGCTACAGCTGACCACTGCACATTTATAAAAGGGAAAGGACTATTTTGTCTCCTTCATTATTTTCTCTGAAAAATGCTAGTCCTTTTAAGATAACATGCAGCTGGATTTTTGAAGTGATATGTGTATAAACATCAGATCTGCTCTGCTTCAGGGCTGTTCTCTAGGATTGTTTGAGGTTAGTGTTGAACCTGGAGGCACTCTTCAATTGTCAGCTGACTTACATGATTTGCTGTGTCCTGTCCTGTAGATACAGTATATCATGTTCCTTGTATTCAACTGTTTGCCAGTCTAAACTTGCTGTTTCTTACCCTGCTTTTGCAGAGAAGGTAAAAGCCGGTTGAGTGTTTCAAGAATGCAGGGGGCAGATCCAGCCGACTCACTGAGCAGTAAGAAAAAACTCAAACTAACTTGTTCTAGCAAGCAGTGTCTAAACAGAAGGGTCAGTGAGTTAAGACAAAGCTAGAAGTTTTGTTCATCCCCTGTAGGATCTGGATGGAAGCTATAGATTCTGGTTTGTGCAATGAAGCTGGAAGCTAATATATTGCAGCCAAAGAGTTAGATCATTTACAATGAGATTGGGAGGGAGGTGGCAGCAGTTACTGAAGGTCAAAAGCAATTAGATTTAATGCTTAGATTAGCATAGCTGTTTGGTTTATTAGCTTTTGTGCTTAAGCAAAATATGGAGGTAAACACACTGTACCCTCACTACATGAATGGGCCAGCTACAAGTGTGTCTGAACTTGGCACTTTTAGGACCATTAGACTTGCCATTTCAGAGAAGCAAGGCTGTAAGTCACTTGTGCAGTCTTTACAAAGGAAGAGAATAGCCTGTAGCATAGTCAGAAACTGGGTGTTGCAGGACAGTGTTTTTATAAGATGGTGCTGCTGCAGCCTACCACCCATTTCTTCATGGCACAACATGAAAGCCATGTACCAGCACACTACACCCAAGAGTGACAGGAGCAGGCTCAGCAGCTCACTCAAGCATCAATGAATTTAAACTGGCTTTATGAATGTAGGAGTCTTGGAGGAATAAAATGGGGATTGGTGCCAGGGGTTAAGGTATAGTACTGGTACTATTGTTCAAGTGTATTTTCAGGAACTTCAGAATTGTCTTGTATCATTGTAGTATTATGTGCAGATTAAGAAATAGCATCTATGAAGCTCTCAGAGAGTGAGTATTGTGTGGCTGTAAATTTAGGCTGCATAATGTTTGCAACAGAGTTTGCTCAGAATAGGTGCAGCTCTTCAGTGACTGAAAAACTGTCTGTTACCTTTTAGGGCAGGGTCACATCTACTGACCACTCTTCCCCACACTAACTGCCTCTAGTTATATGCTTAGTAACAGAAGATTGAGAAATGTTGCTGCTAGTTTGTTCCTCGTTGTTGAAAGAATGAAGATCACCCTGGATTCCCTTCTTTAAGAGTATTTTTACCTTAAGTTAACACTATTCACTCCCACAATTAAACTTCTGCTGTCTGCTGTGCAACTAGGATTTAAGAGAAAAGGGAATCACTTGTAATACAGAGTACATCAATAGATAGTGATGTGCTAGCAGCTTTCTGTGCATTATCTCTGTGCTTTCCCAGGGAAGTAAATGTACTTAGTTGCTAGGGAGTTCAGTTCTCTACTCCATCCAGGCTCCACTGTGACTTTCAGGTTGTCAAGTACAGATACATATTAGCTTGCAAGCTAATAGTATAGTCTATCCACTGTTGTTCATATGCATCTTTATATTTGTCATTTATTAAAGTATGCCACAAAGCTAGTTCTGCTATTGAAATAGTGGGCGATGTTACTGTTTACAAAAATACTATAAATAACCAAAAGACTGGTTGGGATTATTCCTTCCACACAAGAACCAGCTCAAATGGGAAGCAGCCTTCAACTCCGCTCTGATAGGAATGAACTACTTTGCTTAGTGCTAGCAAACACCTGCAGAATGAGGATCCTATTAGCATGGTTTGCAGCTTTTGACTTATGTAAGTACCACAACTGTTCAGGGAGGGTCACTTCTCTTTGCATGACTGTTCTCTAGAACTAGTACTTGTGCTGAAGAGTATGATGCACTTGCCTGAACAGTGGATAAAACAACTACCCCCACCCTCCATCACAGTTACACTTTAATAGCAGCACTGTAGACTGACTAGACAGGTCTCTGTAGACACACACCTTTTTATTTTAATAAATAAAGTAGTACAGGCTCAGGCTTCTTTTTTTAAATCACATATACAGAACAGGAAACTCTGGCCCTGAGCAAGTAACACAAGTCAGACTATTAACCCTGGGGAGGAACGCATGCTCCCTGCACAACACTGAAGACCTTAATTGGAAAGAGAGCTCCCATAGGCATATTGTATGGTCAAAGACTAGGTAACATGAAAAGACAAGTGGCCAACAGAATGAGTTGGCCTAACTGGACCACTAGTCTTATAGCCACAGCAATACAGAGCAGAGCCAAGAGCCCAACACTCTCCATTTTCTAGTGTCACTTCCAGATGAGTTGGTCATCCCCTCATTTTGATCAATACATAAATCACCACAAAATTGAGTCAGGCTAAGCACAGCAGGTATGCTAAGTTATTCCACTGAAGAACATAAATTGGATGACAGAGCATTGAATAGGTACATTTCAAGATTAAAGTTAGCAGACACTTTTGCATCTCTTCAGTATGGCAGTGGAACAGATTCCACTTTCCCTCAAAGAGGTTTAGTCCAAAAACTTCCTGTTGGCATTGGCACCGAAGAGTGCCACTCGGATTTCTGGCATCATCTGTCGAGAGAACAAGCACAAGGGTGTTAGAAGATGCTTCACATATACTGTACACTTTAAGGAGCAGTAAGATAACTGAGCACCTAGTTGCTTGATTACAGGAACCTGTGGGTGATGTGCCAAACACAAAAATAGCTCAGGAAAATTCCAAACAGCTCCACGTTGCAGACATGACTGAACACAAGATTTGCGTGAGTGTAGTCAAGATCCTAAGCAAAGGGACAAGGTCACTCGAAAAAGTAACAGAGAGCTAATAGCCAGACTGCAATACTCATTCAGGACTGCCAGTGACCATGGCCAGAAGGATTCACTTTTCCCTAGGGAACAGACTGGGCTAAATCTACTATCTGTATCAGATAATTTCTGTATCAAAAAAATTGTTCTGGGTTTAGGGTGGACTAATCTATATCTAGGTTAGATTTAGACATTTGACTAGGGAAGTCTATATTCCCCAAGCAAAAGACTCCATGTAGGCACTCATAAATGAGCTCCTCCCACAAGTCAGGGCAGCTGAATTTAAGAGTCTTTGCTTGTCATCTACCTGAAACAAGAGACTGCCACAAATCTTACTTTGAAGATTTGGACTTTGATGAAATTCAAGGATGCTAACTGCAAGACTTAGCTAGTTCAATGTTGGGAAGATGATGAAGGCACAAAAAGGGAGCTGGGTGAATAGATACTTCCCAACCTCAACTTCTCCTTCCCCAAAGTTACCTGCTGGGCTATGAGATCCAGCCGACTTTCCAGAGTATTGGAAACCTTGATTTTCCCATTACTGTTATAGATTTCAACACCTCCAGCACTACAGAGAGAAAAGATTCAATATTATGCATCAGAACTTGACAGAGCTAAATACATGCTTGAATGCACCTCAAGGAGATAACAAACCAATGGTGCTGCCCACTATTCATTTTTAAGCAAACTTTAGTCTGAATTGCATTGCTCTTGCTTTCTAGAGAGCAACACTAGCCCTAACAATGCTTTGGCCAGTAGGGATCCGAGCAAGAAAGAAGTTACATTTTGAGGTACTGAGTCTTCTTCACAGCATCCAATAAATAAGAATGTCTGACAATTTTCAGATCTTGGGAGGAGAGAGAGCAGCCTACAAATATTCTTAAGAGAATGATGTTTCTTACACCATTTATACTGTTTGTATAACAAAATAAATTTAAAAAAAAGGCAACACAAAAAAATTCAGCAGACACTTTGAGGCTTGTGATGTGTGGGGAGGCTGGAGTAGATATTTTATGGATTTTTTTTGGACTTTGTCTAATACACAGTTGGATGCAATCACAGAGACTGGAGTATAATCCAATTAGTCCTTCTTACTTTTATGTTTCTATCACTGAATCTTATTTTGAGATCTTTGTTCAAGTGTTTACTATGTAACATGAAAGTTATAACTTGCACCAGCCCTTAGGACTCTTTTTTTGCTTTATCTTGAACCTCAAAGTCCACTCAAAGACTGGAAAAGTTATGCCATGTTTCTACCTGCTGTTGACTGCAGACAATCTGCCCCAATTTTGTGATTAGTTTGGGAAGGTAGCAAGCATGTCTGCTTGTTTATTAACATCATTACTTGGTTAGAATAATTAAGCCTGGTAAGAATTAGTTACGTGCAGATTCTCTGGTGCTAGCTGTCACTAAACAGCAACAGATATGCTCTGAGGGTACTACTTTCATTTTTCTAGAGGAGTTGCTTATTCAAACTCCCTCAACAACTAACAGTCCATTGGAGAACTACATTGGATTACCACCCTGCACCAATGGCTGCCAAATTCCTTACATTTGCTCTGGCAGGAATGTTTCCTGGTCAACATGAACATCAATGTCTTTTTTTGCAGCAGTTTTGTAGGCAGGAATGCTCTTCTGTACAGCAACCTAGAACAGAAATAGATCCTTAGTTAAGGTCAAAGAGCTTGGGGTGAATTGAATTCTTTGCTCAGACATGGTACATGTGACTAGCATTAAATCCATATTAAGGAAAGGGGAACAGCCAGAACTCATGGACTTGTTCATTTGTCTCACCCTCTTCTGGAAGAGACTTACTTTTAAAAGCCATTTAACTCCTGTCATCATGCCTTATAGTGTGAGAAGGCCCAAGGCACTTTCTAAACAAAAGACATTTCCTGAACTGAAAAGTATACAATACCAACGATCAGGTAACTGCAACACTTTTATCTATTTATTTTAATTTGGTAGCAAGTTGCTTTACTGCGTTAGGACTTTGCCTGCCAGGTTTCAAGCATGAGTTCCATGCTTTTAGCTATGGAGACACTGTTTCCCATTCTAGTCATCTTACCTTTACCAAAGGGAGATCCTGTTTCCGGCAACGAACAAACACCTTGGGCTCAAGCAGCTGAAAGAATCCCTGTGCAAAACAACAACTATGTTAAAATGGAGATGGAGGAAACTTCTATCACCACTATAATTCATTAGCCACAAGGCAATGAGAAATTAGTTTAAAGTCCAAGAAATGGCAGAAGCTTCCCATCTCACTGAGTGACTATCAAACTGTCCACTGGTTACAAGCCTTCTTACCACAGTCATCCTGAGATAGGACTTACTATTATCAATAATGTGAAACCAATAAGAACTTATAGATTGCACTGTGTAGGAGCTGGACAGTCCAAATTTGCAACTAAAATGCTGTTAGAGATGGCCAAAATGGGCACTGAAGGATGGATGAAGAGAAGCAGGTTGAGGGGCATTAGTATTTCCAAATGGACCAGGCAAGCTGCAACTACGTAAATATCCTGCACAGCTTTTTCTTAAGGTCTGCAACAATTCTAAATCTGTCCAGTGATCTCCAGTTCTGCTGAAATTCTATAGAAAGAAGTAGACAAGTGGGAGACCAGAATGCCCTGAATTTGTGACTCAAGGCAAAATGTGCCCCACTTTGCAGGTTTATTATTGCATGCAAACACACAGCAATAAACAGGGATAAAAGCTACATGTATTACTGAATTGTGCTATGTCAGTGTTATAATGCAACCTTATTTGGCAAGTCTGAGCTCAGCAAAGGAGGGGAATGAATACAAAGTTAATAACAAGGCTGGAAAGACAACTGACTGTGCTGGAGAGTCTTTGCTATTTTAAGCTGGGGAGTGCACAAATAAAAATAGAATTCTTGGCAAAAAGGTAGTGTCTGTTTCAGGCTCTTGTATTAGCATAGCAGCTAGCACAGTTAATGGAAGCTTACTACTTTAAAACCTTGATGTTTGTAGCTGCTATATGTCAAAAAAAAAACAAAAAAACAAAAAAAAAACCTATTTTGACTAACATCCAATGCCTGAAGCCTGGTTATGGAGGTAGTGAAGCAGATCTAGTTAGATGTACTATGTCACTTAAGTTTATGCAAAGCTATAGTCACACAAGTCTTGGCTCACTGTCTAAAATTTGAAATGCAAACAGACAGGATCATGAACTATTCAGTTGGGAGAAAAAGCTTTTAACAAGCATGCATTTCAAGAGCTCATCCCAAATATATGTAGTGAAAGCTTAAGTACATACTCCTTCATGTTTACTCTTCATCTGTCCTGAAGCAATGACAGTTTAAGAAGCAAGTTACTGTTTCTGTGAGCTTGTGACAACTGTCTCTCACATTCTTATGAAACTTCTCAGGAACCTAGATGGCACACCCCAGACAACAGAGCCTTGCATAAGGCTGAAGTTTGACTCCCAGGTCTAGTGGGAGTAAATTGAAAAAACATGTTCTAGGTGATCTCTATACTGCAGTACTTCCAGAGTGGGTTCGTGCTTGAGGTAAGACTGAATAGACAGCTTTTTACTGTGGTTGGAGTATTTTACCTGAAGAATTAGTCCATCCAGTAGAGCTTGGTACCTAGCAGTATCCTTCACCACCTTGGCAAGTCTCTGCTTGGCTTCATTCAACAAGTCCTACAGAGAGAAGAGATCAAGTGAACAAACAAGTGGGCTCTACTCATTTGATTCTATGCTTACCATCCCTCTGTATGAACAGGACAGACACTGTGCCCTCCCAACAAATGAACTTCTCTTCCAGCTGGTGTTCCTGGCACAGCAGCTTCCCAGAGCCCTTCCCCCAGCCCTGTTTAGAACTTAAGGCAATAAGTAGACATCAACTCCTTTCCTTGGAAAAGGGAAACCTTGGTAATAGAATAGCTTTTAACTATTATCTTGTTCAGATGGAATAGTATTGGTAAAACTGAGTAAGAACCATTTCTCCTACCCTATCAACTGCACTAGCATGACATCAGAAGACTTACTGCAGGCCACACTAGAGAGCATTTGATTACCCCTTTGGTCTTCTACCTGCACAAATCCCTCATATTAAAAAATGAGGCTTCCTGTAATACCAATAACTTCCTTGGCTTGGCCTGGTTAAAATAAGATAGCTAGGCAACTCTAGACTAAGGGAAGACCACTGTCAGCCATAAGTGTCAATACAGGAAGCTTACACGGAAGAGTCAGGGCCAAGGAATAGCAGCGTCCATCCCCTGCAGCCCCAGCCCCCACCCCAAATGCTCACCCGATAGCCTTCACTTGTGAGAAGGCAGCTACTCCCCACATGCAGGCAAACAGTATGCTATGCCCCAGAACATGGGTCCAGAGAAACCAATTCAAGAAGCCCAGAACCCAATTTTGCTATTCCATTCCTAGTAGTGATTGTCTAGTTTTCAGAGCCAATAAAAAAGGAATAATTTTTATCTGTTTAAGGAGCACAAACAAATATGGTTCTAGGCCTTTGCCCATAAGACATGTAAAAGAGCTGTGCGAATAGCTATTTTAGTTTGGTGGCCGAACTTTAGGGACACATACACACAGAATTAGTGTGCCCCCTTTCTCCCCTGCTTTAAGACCGAGGCTCAAGTCTTTATTTCACTTGTTCCTTGGTGTGTTTTAGAGTCCATTTTTAAGGCCTTTTGTAGCTTGTGACCTAGAATATTTCAGGAGGAGGAAGTGTTATGAACTATTCAGAAGCATGTGGCTGAGTCAGCTGATAATAGCCAGAAATTCTACAGCATGGACTAATTCAGTGGAGTCAATTCTTTCAACTCCTCCTGTGCAGCACATTTTAAGTCTTTCTAAATTTAACCTAGATTATTAGTTTGGTTCCAGGATGAAAGAAATAAGATTTTTTAAATATAAAAATGAATGCCTCTTCTCAGAATAGTGTTATTCAAACAGGACTATTTTAATGGCTCAGAGCACTACCGAGTACCTAGGTTGTATAGACTGCCTCTCAGTCAGGACAAGAATTTTAAAGCTAGATGGAAGAGGTTCAGCACCATCTTGCTGAGGATGACATAACAGGCCCAGGGCAACATAGGCGCATGGGCGACTGGTGCCTCGAGTCAGTAACTTGAGGGGGCAGGTGGTGTCCCCCGGCGGCCAATTTCACTGATTGCACTCGCCAAAAAAGTCCCATGGCCACTTTTGTTGGCAGCCCCGCTCCCTGGCCGGCGCTCACAGGGTGGGCACCAGGGCTCCTGCCTGCCCCCCTGCCTGCTGCCTAAACAGGGAGCGCGGCCTGACAGGGGGTGCACCAGCACCCTTAGGAAGTGCACGTGCACCTCTGTGCACCCCCTACACCTCACCACCACATAGGAGTGAGATTTGTGGAGCTTAAGAGTTACATTCCCTAGGATGATTATAGAAAGTATCACTTTCCATATTTCTAGGCATAAATTCATCACCAGATGGACCAAGTAGTAAAACTTTTCATCCACAGGCCTCTACTGGAGATGGGTCCCTCCATTAAATGTTATTTCAAGCCTACTTCCTGAAACCTAGCCATTTTAGAATTACTACAGACACTAAGTTCTAGCTGCCTAGAACAACTGAACATTTTGTAGACCAGTTCACCCACAGTTAATTCCTCTTTTTGTACCACATTGTGTAACAAGCATTTCCTAGCCTATGAACAAGTATCAGACACTGTCCAAAAGCAGAGCTTAGCCACAGGCTGCAAGTGAAATTTCTGGCAGAAACAATGTACTTTCCTAGAACATCAGATAAATTAAGCTGTGAAAGCATGACACCAGGACAATTTATTAAAGCTGGGCTTCACTCTTAATTCCTTCTTAGTTGATGGTAGTCTTTCAAGACAGCTAGTGAAACCTTTCTGCATGTTATGTGGGCTTGGAGTCCACTACACTTAATTTCTATTAAATTTAGCAGTGTTAATGGTTAGAGCAGACTTCTTAAGTAAGGACATGGAAAATCCCCTGCCCTTTTAACACAGGCATGTACTCACAGCAATAAGGTCATCTCTTGCTCTGAGGACCTTCAATCTTGCCTGATTCATCAGGTTGGACATCTGACTGCAAGTTGCATGGAAAAGTTAAATCAGTGCATCAACAACTAAACAATGACAGTAGAGTAGCGAAATTTTAACTGCGTAGCTTGACATTTTTAAGTAACGCTGTATCATTTTGAACACAAGCTTGGTCACTTATCTGAATCTGCTTCAGGAGCAGCAGCAATAAATAGCTTACTAGAAAGGGCAGCTTGCTGAATGACAACAAAAAGCAAAAAAAAATTACTTAAGAGACAGATAAGTGCTGAGATCAGCACAAGAAAATAACCTGTATCTAAGTTATGAAGCATGTCTGCTAGACTGGTGGAGGGGGAGACCCTCTAAATCACAGTAACCCAACGAGAACTCCAGCAGCTGTCTTTAGACCTGGCTTGGGACCAAAACCAGCCACTGTCCAGTATCTAAAAACTTGCCAGAAGGCTCCCCCACACATGCTCAGATGCTTCAAAGTTCTTTTCTATACTCATGCTATAAGACTAATTTTTCTTACCAAAACATTCCCGTCAGCACTACTTGTTGCTGGAACGGTTTCAAGTTGCAGTTTACCAGGGAAAGCTATAAAACAGCAACAACACTGGGGCTGCCTGGAGCTTTAAGATTACATTGCCTTATTTCACAGCCATGAAAGTTTGTTCTGAAGTGAAAGTCTGTATTCTGCAATACTTAATGGATTAGCTGTGCCATCCCCATTTGCTAGGGGAAGATTTTATTTGTATATCTATACTCTATAATGGCAAGTTGAATGTTCAGGTGCTGAAGTAAAATAGGCAGCCTAAGCAACTTACATTTTCTTTTGTTGTTCAATTTGTTTCTCCTTCTTTTCATAGTACTCCATGATTTTCAGTCTCTGCGTCTGCACGAGCCGACCCTTCTCAATGTTGAACTCTTCTTCTGCCTATGGTGAGAGTCAGAGTTGAAATGAAGCTGACTCCACAAGCGTTTGGAAGGATGCTCAGTTTATTCACATCAATAAACTAGAAGCAGGAGGATGAGAATTATGGCCCTAACTAGACAAAGCATTTACTTAAATCTCAATGTAGTCAAGGGGACTTAAATGTTTATTTTGCTAACCTAGGGACTTTGTCACTATTCTCCAAACAGGAATATTGCTGAAGCCACACTATCGATTTTTTCCTTCAGATTTTGTTTCTAAACAGGCGAAGATGTATAACTCAAGTATTAGCTAGTGAGCAAATACTGGTGTGCTACCTAGCAGCAACCAAAAGTTCAGTTCAGGACACTTAGATAAACATAGGCTAATCTTTGCAAGTGGAAAAGATATGGAAAACAGACACCACAACAGTATGAATCACAATGACGTGTGGTAATTTGACAGTTATTACAGCCTGTATAGTACCCTTAAACTGCTTACATTTAGAGGTTACTTATGCAAGGCTACAGTCAGGAGGACTTACTGCTTTTTTAGTGCAGTCCACTAACATATATGTAAAACAGGCCATGAAAGTGGGCAATATTAACAGTATCCAGCTATAGATGTGCAAGGAGTCTCAACTGGTGACTAAAGAACATCACCTTTATTTAGAAATAAGGGGGGAAAGAAAAAAAAAAGCATTTCTAACATGTATTAGTGTTTAACAATCAGTCTAATTTCAACAAGACTTTGGCATAATACAGCCAACCATGCATTAAAAAAAGAAAAAAAAAAAGAAAAAAGAAAAGCCGCCATGACATTTTATGAATCTATCAACCTTTTGTTAGCACGTGACTGTGCCACACAACCTGGACACTATTATATTGGTTCTCATGGAGAGGGTTGAGTATGCATTTGCTGAATGCAAGACAAGGTAAGTGCTTGGTTTTTGCTTTCATCCCTTAAATTTAAATCTGGTTTTAGTTCATCAACATCTCCAAGACCACAGCTGGAACTAAGAGGGTAGTTACACAGGTTTATTGTTAATCCCATCATGGTGCCTGTTTACACCCCAGCCATCATCGAAATGAGGCAGCCAGCATTGACTTGCATCTTTTTATTGCACTGCAAGTCTATGAGAACACATAGCTAAAAAGGAACTTCTTTTGATTTAGGAGAAGATAGTCCCCACTTAAGCCAAAATGGAAAGTGAGAATGAAAGCCAATTTAATTTTCAGAAAAAGTTCTGGATAAATCTTAAATACAGCCTGCAGTGATCATATTCATTTGTTTAAGAACCAATAAATTTCAGAAGCAAGTAATTTAATCCCATCTGTTTGGGGCAAAAAGTCCCAGTTTATATCATCATCAGATCCCCTGCTGTGTTGAATCAAAAAGTGTTCTTCCATTCTAATACCTTCACATGTAGGCATTCACAAGATGTGGAAACAACATCAGCTCAGTTATTTTGATTATGTTACTCTGACATTAACTTAATTCAGTATCTTACATTTTGCTATGCAGTTACTCTGTGCGTGTGAAGCAAGTCAGTTGCCTCATGGAAATATTATAGGCCTGTTTAAGGGGTGACTAGAAAGCTAGTTAGGCTGTCACACACAGTCCCTTTTGCTGTTCCACACGTGATATTTTTACCTTAGCATCTATTTCTTCAGCCTTTTCATTGGCTTCCTGCTCAATGAAAGCCATCATATGCTTGATCTGTAACAGCAAAAAAAGCAGTTATATTTTTGCAAGAAAGCACTCAAGAGAAGCAAGCTTTCTGCCCCATGAACTCCACAGTACTCCCCCTTCTCATACATAGTAGCATTGCCTTCACAGAAAGGAAGGCTTCCCTACTGGCAAACACAGAAGTCACCACAGAATTCAGCAACATTTAGATTAGAAACAAAAAACTGAAACCTGATCTCAACAGCCTCTATCATTGCTCCTAAATAGTATTGGTACAGCCTCCCTGGGCTACAAGAAGGGCCAACTGGGTAGTCTTTTAAGTGACAAGTGTCCATACACAAAGATGTGTTGAATCATTTGCAACAGCTTCCCATGTCTCTGGGTTGGTACTTGGGACCATCACAAGTTAAGGAACTGCAGAATTTGAGAGGAGGAGAGTTGATGTTTCTTAGCAAGTGCAGAGCTCCCCTCAGACTAAGGACAAGTTTTGACTGCTTCAGAGAGAAGAAAGGGACCTGCAGTGAAAGTGAAGGATTCAGGAACTTTGAGGATCCAAGCTAAGCTCATAAATATTTGAGAATCGAAGGCAAGTCGCTGAGGATCCGTTGCTACAGGACTGCAGGGTCTGCCCCAGAACGGATACTTGGAAAAGAAATAGACCTTTGATAGCACTACAGTTAGAACGGCTGCTCAGGGAACTGCGCCTGCTGACTTGTCACAGCACTGTTGCCCTGTGCTCTCTCAAGGCCCAGCAAAAGCAGACGATCCCAGATCACAAAACACTCTTAAGTGCATCTCACCTCTTACTGAAACACAAAAAGACCTCCAAAGAGTGGGACTTTGAATGGTGACGGCCTTAACGAGCACTACAAGGTGCATTCTTATAATGAGAAATTAGTTTCCGCTGAAGTTGGAAGATCTTGCACGGAGAGTTTCCCAGGGGAAGAGGACTAGCGTTCCCTCCCGCCACAGGAAAAGGGGCATTTTTCTTATACCACCCACAGGGATTTATATCTGCTACGTGAGCCGCAGCTGGCGCTAACCAGGGTCTGTGGAACGAGGAATGTAGGTATGAATGCAACTCTCTGTGCAGAAGTACTGTGAGAATCTCCACAAACCCTGGACACGGTAAGAAGAGGCAGTTTCCTGCTCTGTCCCATGACCTACATGGCAGCGACGTGGTCAGTTTACTGTAAACCGCATTTTCATTTCAAGGGAGGGCGGGGGGGGG